GATGAATATTTTTGTGTATAGCCGTGAAAGAGGAAAAAGCAGTTTATTTTTTCTCACATTTTCCCGTGATGCTATCGCCATCTTCTTTTTTAGGAATTGCATTTGGGAGTGCCGCTGAGGGCACTGCAGGTGAACCACCAAAAGAGGGGAAATACATGTTGCTAGTAAAATATATATATATATTCAGAGAAAGATAAAAAAGAGAGAAAGAAAGAGAAGAAAGATAGAGGGGTTTGATGCTATATTTTATAATAAATACAGACACAGACGCCTCCTTCAATACTTATAAAAAAGATGAAAAATTAATTATAACTCTGATCTGTCAGTGCAAAGAAACATGAACAAAAGATATGCTGGCTGGGGTGTATGTATACACAGGATATCATAGATCCCCAGAAAGCCCGTAAAAATATAAAATTACGAGAAATAAATATTCATAAAATACAGTTTTAAATTTATATTTATTGCAGTTTTGGGTGGAAGGCTCGATCTCGATGATGCCTCGGCCAGGGTGCCTCACAAGACCCCCCCTATTCCCCCCCGTTTCCAGCGCGAAATCTCCCGCTAATGTTGAATTAAAAAAGCGAGAAAATTCGCATATTTGAATAAAAAAGAAAAAAACAGAAAAGAAACACTCAAAGCAGAATTCATATATAACGTGGGGCGAAACCCAAGCCCCGAAGGAGGGCCCGGGCCCCTCCTTCATTCCTCCCCGCCATTGATTGTGGCCTCACCATACACCTCACGAATTTATTGTAATTTATAAAACAAAATATCACTAAATTAAATTAAAATATCATATTAATTAATTCAAAAACAACAAATTCCCTCCATAGTTTTGCATCAGCACCAGAGGAAGCCTGATGATTGCTCCTCGGGCGGAAGGCAACAACATACAGAACTTGTACGGCTCAGCACGGGGCCATCTACAGCTCAGTTTTAGTATTTTTATAAAGTATTATACAAATTAAATATATTTATTGAATAAATTAAAGTAATCCATGGTGATAAAACCTGAAAAAGAA